TTTAATTCTTCCCTTCTACCATGTAAACCTACTGCCACAAGTTTTCAGTTCTGTTATGCACAATTGTTTATGCATTGGTCAAACTCTATCACCTCATAAGGAGTAAAATCCAAGCCCTCTTGCTTCTCTTCAACATTTAGAATTACGTTAAAGTCACCCCCACAAGCCAGGGATTATTATTTTCTATAGCTATAAAATCCAGCTCTTCCCATAATTCTAATCTTTCTAGGGCATTACATAGGACATACAAGCATTCTATATTACTTTTCCTTAGATTCATTGTTAGTTGTTGTCCATGGTCTCTTATAACCTCACCGATCCATTCTTCTTCCCAAAACACCTAGATTTTTTGTACAATTGCAATATGTATTTCCCATTTCCAATTTCCTTTTGTAGTGGTCTAGTTATTGTGGGCCTTGGAAAAGTTCCATAAGAGTTATGTAACTGTATTTATGCCTTCTATTTAGGTCCACTAGCCCCTCAAAAGCTTTTTGAGACCTAACAAAACTAATGTTCCAAAATATGGTTTTCCCAATCATTGAGAAACACATCTGGCCTTTCCTTGCCACTCCTTGTTTTCACTTGTAATGGAAGTGAAGGTTGACATGATTTACTTCTTTTGGCTTGGCTTTCGATGATTTGCCTTGGCAAAAAATCACCATCTCTCGCTACTTTGTCTATATTTTCCTCTATTTTTTCATCCTCATCCATATCCCTTTTTGTTTACTTCTCTTTCTGTGTGATCTCCTCTAAATATGGCATATTTTTGTTGTGTGTTTCTTCCGTTTTGACTTTCTTGGAGCATGACTCCTCATCTTTTTCAGTTGCTTCTTTTTCATTCTCCTTACCCCTTTCTTTTACCTCCATATTATCGTTGTAGCATCCCTATCAATTGTATTTCTTCCCTCATCCTCTTATCCTTATCTATGAACTCTGGCTCAACTGGCATTGATATGGACTCTTTGTTCTGTGTTGTTACCATTTATGCTCCCCCCGTTTGTTCTTTGATCCGCTAATTGGTGTTGTATTCTTACCAATAAAAAATTTCTCTATCCATTTCTTAGTAGGTCTCCCTTGCCTGTCTGTAACTATGCCTCTTGTACTTCCCCGCCATCTTCTATTTTATGTACTAATCCCTTATATTTCATGTTGATTAGTTTTTTTGTTCCATACTTGTTCTACTTTTCCTATTTCCTGTTTTGTCCAGGCTTCACCCCCTTGTGCTTCTTCTCCTTGCCATCCCCTTGTTCCTTCCTTTTTTGTTGTTCCTCTGTCACGGTGGTTTATTTGTCATACACCTCTCTATTTTTCCTCCCATTTTCTCCCTTTAAGTTCCTTCTTCCCCCGTCTCTTTCTTATGATATTATTCCAGATGAATAACATAGCACTCTGCTTTATTATGTCCTTGAATTCTACAATTCTTGCAATATTTTGACATATAATCATATTTACTTCTGATCCATTTTTCAAGGATCTCTCTTGATTGTTTCCTCATACCCACCGTGATTATTTTTTTGGTAAATCACCCAACAAATCCACATCTATATTTACCCTTGCACAACTAGGTTGTGTTCGATGCTTTGTAGCTAAGTCCACCTGTAATGGTTTGTCTACAATAGTTGCTAATGAAAATACCATTTTTTATGAAAAAATTCAGCGGCAGCACTGGAAAAGAGATCCATGCGATTGTCGTAGATGTTTCCCCTCCTGATTAAACACTGAATTCCATTTTAAATTCCTCATTAGATACGCCCATCCCATATGCAATATGTAGTATGTTGGCTTTGATAGAAAATTGAAATAATCCTCCAAACATGATGCCCTAATCAATATGTGAATGTTGCTCAACAATCCGATATTGCATTCTACTTTCAACTCGCATTGTTTAGGTATCAATTTTCTCAACTCTTGAATATTCGAAATCCATAGAAAAATTACCCTATGACTACAAACTCCACGTTCTCCTTGATAATCATTTATTCCACTTCCCCATCTTCCCAAATCACCCTATAATATCCATGTAGGAAAGCAATAGGTTCCATTGGGATAGGTTTGGCCATCAAAAGTTTTGGTCGCAATGTAACAAGAAAATTAAGTTTGTGTAGTGACTTTACCTCCTGTAAAGCTAGATCTTCCCCAGTGGGAGGTTGTCCTGTTGAAATGGTAGCCATTGCCACCAGAAGAGGGGTATGTAAATTTTAAGATTTACTAGTGGCAAATAATGTGTATTACTATTTGTCTCCTTTATTTTCTGATGCCTTTAGAATATTATTTACTCCCCAAAATTGTACATTTGAATTTGTATGTGGGGTTTAAAGGATAATAAGTATTGATGTGATCGAGGCAAATAAATTATTAAGCAAGTAAGAAATTATCTAATGACAAATTTAATATATTAAATAAATAATAGATTAGAATATCCTGAGTCGACCTAATTCTAATGATATCGACGTCAAGATATCCCCAGATAAGGTTAGTTGAATGAATAAGTTAATCAGACAAGTAATTAAATTGTTAGAGAAATTATAATATTCTTGTAATGTAAAAATGGATGATTTATAAGGTGATGATCCTATAACTTTTATAGGGTGTGACTTCGCATGAGTTGATTGATCATAATTAATTTTTAAAACTCATGATAAATAACACAACTCATGGCACATAAGAGTAAATAGTAAGGTTCAGCTTCACTCGTGGGACGATTTCATAACGGCTAATGTGGGGGAATGGCTTCTCTTCAAGGAGTCTATAAGTATTGGTTCGATTTGATTAGACATGGTAAATCGCTTTATCGATCTTTCAGATTTATGTTGTTACTTTGGCTATCTTTCATGCGTCCTTGATCAACCACACATTTTGTCTGGCTACGTTTTTAGTACCTCCCACATATCATGATTTAACTAGGTCACATGTCTTGGATTCATTTTTACCTGTTTTCTCTAGATTTCTAGTTTTCTTTTTGTCTGAGGAACATAGATGATTTCTTTTGCTTCCTTAGAGAATCATGAAGTGAATTCTCAAATTAATGCTACTATTATAGATCATTCACGTAAGTCTTTTTTGAGACATGTGTTAGTGTGTACTTGGTTTCCTATGAGGTAGTTTAATATTTTGAAGCACCAAACCCTTCATCTTCCTTTTATTCTTTTTGTTTCCTTTTGAAGTGTAATGATTTCTGGTCAAGAACGTCACGCCCGAAACTACAAGAGGCGCAACAGACACTTGATAATTTATTCGATCGAGCTAGCTACTGAAACATAACTAAAAAGAGACAACAACGACCGACAAGGCCAGACAACATAGTTATTGGAATACTATATCTAGACCGACAAGGTCACAACAACAACAATAATAATAACATCATAAAAGGGTCGACAATGCCAACTCAACTGATATAACTAGAAAGTAAACAGAGCTACAACTGGATATATATATGCATGATAAGCCGACAAGACTGGAACTGAAAATTGTAAAAGATCATACATATTATGTCCACAAAGTCTTTAGGAGTACAATTGTAATGCCTCAAGCTAGGGTGAGACGGAGCGAAACTCGGTGCCTTAACTTTGATACCATCATATGACCGAACAAACCACTTCTAGAATATTTCTATAAGCATGTAAGTGGCTCTTAAGCAAGTAGGACATAAATTTTCTTTTAAGCAAGTGTGTCACCTACTTAAGCAAGTAGGATGTTTAAGCACATAATATGTGTAAGCACATAGCATATTTGAGCTAGTAGCATGCCTAAGCAAGTAGGCAAAACACATAGGTGAAGCAAACAATTCAAGCTAGTAGGTGAAACACATATGTCAAGAAGAGATGTTGCAACAACTATATTCTCGACCAACTATAATATTTACTTTTAAGATAATTAAGTAGATATTAAGACTCATTTAATAGAATGAATATATTAATACAAATACTTTCTTTTAAGATACTAGATTTTTTTAACACTAACAAACTATTTAACAACCTTTTAATTTTGTATTTATGATTGCATTCATGCATACATGGTTGGAACACATGTTAAATTTGGCTAAAGTTTTAGGGATGTGGGTCTGAAATTCTTTGCCAATAAAATAAAAAAATTATTTTTAAAATTTCAACACACAAATCTACTCTAAATAAACTCAAATATGAAACATAAGCTTTATGTACATAAAGAATAAACATCAATAATCAATTTGTCAAATAACAAAAAAACTAACAAAAATATTTAGCACCCTTTTAATTTTTATTTATGACAGTGCCCAGGCATGCATGGTTGGTCAGATGTTAAAAATAGTTAAAGTTTCAAGTGTGTATATCCAGGTTTTGTCCAACAAAAAGATAATTTTATTGTTCAAAATTATAAGCTCAAATTTGAAACATAAGTTCAATGTATCATAAAGAACAAGCATCAATCATCAATTTTTCAAAATAATAACAAATCTAACAAACTCATTTAACACTCTTTAATTTTTCATGTATGTCTGTTCTCAATCATATTGTAACACCCCAGAAAATTTTTGAACTAAGACTCAAACCGTTCTTCGTAGGAGTGAGATTTTACCAAGGAATTTAAAATTTCTTAAGTGTTAAGGTTACTAGATGTAGCACCTTGAGTTTCAAAAATAATTAAATTGGAAATAGCAAAATCTGAAATTTTGCAAGTTATGCTTAAGTATGAGTTTTGGATTGACTTCAAACAACCATAAATCCGAGCTCAGGATGAATTAGGTGTGCTACCAGATACCGTATCGAATATCTTTGAATTATCTTTCCAACGCCGCAGAGTTTGCTATGTTTCGAGGTCGGATGAGTGAGATATGACCTTTTGAAGATAGACTGTCCAGTTAAGGAAGGTTAGCCGAAAATAGAGAAGGGTATTTTGGTCTTTTCCTTACCCAATCAGATTTAATTCGTTTTTAGTAATATTTTAGGGGTCTAATCTGATTAGGTTCAGTTTTATAATTCTAAAATACACCTAGGGTTTTAGTTGAGAGTTCAAGAAGAAGAGAAAAGAGGAGAAAAGAGAAAGGATGAAAGCGTCCGTCGAGATTCTTGCATCTTGTTGCGGATTTTCGCCATGGGTTTAATCCCTAAGAGGTATGTAAGCTTCCATAGTGTTGGGTTCTTTCACCCACACGCCAATCATGATTTATTCAGCGTAATTTCGTTCTTGAAATTTAAAGATTAGAGTTCTTGATGAGTTATTGACAAGTGTTCTTGAAGTTTCATTAAGTTTTGAAGTAAGATTCTGCTTAGGTCAACTTTAAACGACCATATCTCTTAGAATATTAAGAGTTACGTGAGCCATAGCCTATCCAATTAAAGGTAATTGAATCTACTTTCCAACCCCACCAGTTTCACGTTAATCCAATATATGAGTAAAAAGTTATGACTATTTTAGTAACCTATACAGTGCTGTTACGAATTAGCCGACGGGAAAATATTAAAAAGAGTCATTTTTGTCTTTTTACCTCCAAGAAACCATAAATGAAATTATTGACTAATAAAAGGCTCAAAACAATCAGATTTTCATCTTCACTAATGAAAATAATAATTCTTGACCATAGAGATTTCAAGAAACTAATTCAAAAATCTCAAGAAAGGTTTTCTTGATTGTTTACCTTCAAGCTAGGGTTTCAAGGCTTCTAATCAAGTTCTTCTTCAAGATTCTTCAAGAATCTTGTTCTTCTAGGTATGTAAGGCTATCATAGTGTTGGACTAGTTCATCCTCACGCCCTACATCTACTTTCAAATCAGAAAAAGAGTAATATATGATACTTTCCCTAGATTTGAGTATTCTTGAGATAAGTTGATTTTGAGTTCTTGAATTCATGTTTGTTTTAAAAGTTCTATTCCTAATTATCGAATATCTATATTGTTATTGAGATCCTTCATATCATGAATCATAACTCTTGAATTCATAATTCAAATTCAAGAGAGAGTTAAGAGTAGAGTTCAAGAAAGCCTTTGAGTTCAATTGTGAATCCTTTGAGATCAACTATCGATTTGAACTAAGTTTTGAGGAAGTAAGTCAGAGAATGAGAAGAGTCACATACATGAGTTTCATAATGTTATGTAACTTACGAGTCAAGTCGTTCATGCCCATAAATTCCGCATGAACTCCAGAAGTTGAGTATCTTTGAGAGGAGTAGTATCTTCAAGTTCTAAGTCTTGAGTATTGAGTTCCTAATCCCCTTTGAGATTATATTTCTAAGCATGGGACTATTACATGTTACCCATAAAGTCTTTGAGTTGAATTGTTCATGCCCATAATTTCGCATGAATCCTATAAGTCGAGCAATCTTAAGAAGAGAAGTATCTTTGAGTCCTTGAGTTGAATCGTTCATGCTCATAATTCCGCATGAACCCTCTGAGTTGAGCATTCTTGAAATTAGTAGTATCATTGAAGTTCTTGAGTTCCAAGTATTTGAGTTCTATCTATGGTTATTGAAAACCTTGCATTTAGTAGTTCATGTCCATAATTCGGTATGAACCATATTTTAAGAAGTCTTTTACAAACGTTTTAACTTTGTTTAAAGACTTAAGTTTTGAGTTCAGTAAAGAGTAAAGAGTAAAGTTTGAAGTCCTTTTCTTCAAAAGTATATGGGGACTAAGTATTCCCAAAGAGTTTATAAATGTTTTCACATTTAAATAAGAACGGCAACTGAGATTTCCAAAGAGCTTTCGGGCTAGTTTTCAGAAAAAAGTAATAGCTTTCTAAATGAAGCAAGCAGGGAAACTGAGATTTCCAAGATAGCCTTTGAGCTAAGTTTTTGAGCAATTATCTCAAATCAGCAGAAAAAAAGTATGTTTTTAAAACATAAGAGCTAGTATATTTTGGGAGTAGTATTGAGCACCGATATGGGGGAGAGTTCAAACAACTCACAGCCCCCATAAACCATGTAGCCATCATGGGTAGAAAAGGGTCATACTTTTTAGATGAACCTTTTTCACATAGACTAGTGGATCCATTAGTAGTTCAGGTCCTATACCTTTGGCCGGGTATAGGATGCGCTGGCAGCGTGAGGTAGATCGCTGTATCATCACTATAGCTCTTATGTGATGGTTGTCGGTTAGAGAAACTCCCACAGAAGTTATTGTATTTTTATATACATCAGTTTATTGTATTTTTATATACATTTCAGAGTTATGTTGTATCCTTGCATACACACAGATTTGACAGCATGTTTTTAAACAGTTTGTTTCTTTATATTGCACTTGTTTTAAATTGCTTTATATTGAAATGAGTTCAGTCATATTTAGTTGAGTATTCAAAGTTGAGTATCCAGAGTCGAATATCATATCTTTGAGTCGAATATCATATCCTTGAGTTGAGTATCTAATCTCTGAGTTGAGTATCTTATCCTTGAGTACTTCTAAGTTGAGTAAGTTTGAGTAGTTTGGAGTATTCCTTGAGTTGAGTAAGATTGAAAACAGGCAAGTATGTTTCCTTTTTATCAAGTTTCAAGCTTATGTTTATGTTTTAGAATTCCCCTTACATGCTCGTACATTCCACGTACTGAGCCATTTGGCCTGCATCTTTTCATGATGCAGACACAGGTATTCAGGATCATCAACAGGAGCTTCGTTGATACATCCGAGAGTTCGAGTTAGCTATGGTGAGCCTCCTTGGTTTCGGAGGATTTCATTTACCTTTCAGTTACATCAGTTGTTAGGATGTCGTGGGTCTTGTCCCGACTTCCATCTTTATCAGTTAGAGGCTTCATAGATAGTCAGTACAATTGAGAAGTCTGTATCATTTATTTTATTAAATGTTTTAAAGACTAAAGTTGCCTTTTTATGGCGAGTTGTATATATTTTATTATACAGAGTTTTCTTTGGACTTAAAGTTTGTATTTAAGTTTTACGAACTTTTATTTCAGTTTTTAAGCTTTGTATGCTTGAATCAGTTTTCCGCTTGTAGTCAGCCAGGATGAGGGTTCGCTTGGGGACCAGCAATGGTCTTTGAGTGCCGGCCACGTCCAGGGTGTAGGCTCGGGTCGTGACACATATATAACTAACACACGTGTAAAATATGACTAAAATTCCAGGTGTGCATCTAAACACAAAAGCAAAAAAAAGGTATGTAATTTTAACTGAAAATTATATTATTCTAGGTATTCGTTTAAAAAAAAGAGTATTAATTAAATGAGGCAACCAACATAGAGTACATGAAGGAAAACATTTTATTTATAAACTAAAAGACTCTTGAATCTTAATTAAGTTCTCTCTAGATCTTTCTTTTCTGTATATTTCTGTACATTGAAAAATAACTAGTAACTTCTCTATTTATAATAGTAAGACGTAAATTAAATTAGGACTAGAAAACATATTCCTATATGAACTAGGATAAATAAAAATCCTAACTAGACATCAATTAAATAAATACCAAAAATACCAAATCATAAACAACTTAAGATTCCTATTCCAACTTTGAATTATTTTTCCAACATGCTCTCGTAATTCAAAGTTGTATACTCTTGCATTTTTCATCTTGTCATTGTTGTTGTATTGTAAATGACTTTTCTTCAATCTTCACTTTCATTCTTGTTGTTTAGAGAACTTCTCTTCAACCTTCAATTGTTGGAGTACTTTTCTTCAATTATCATTTTTTCTTTGGTTGTGTTGGAGTACTTTCTCTCCAACTTTCAAGTGTTGGAACACTTTCTCTCCAACTCACAATATTTTTTCTCATGGTTGTATTGGAGCACTTCTCTCCAACTTCCAAGTGTTGGAGAACTTTCTCTCCAACTCTCATTGATACCCTTTCCACCAACTCCTTGTTTGTTTTTGTGTTGGAGTACTCTCTCTCCAACTCTCGTTTATGCCCTCCCCACCAACTTTTTTTTGTGTTGGAGCACTCTCTCTCCAACTCTCTTTGATGCCCTTCCCACCAATTTTTTTTGTTGGAGCACTTTCTCTCCAATTCTCGTTGATACCCTTCCCACCAACTCTTTTATTTATTTATTTTTGTTTACCTTTCTCCAACTTTCAATTAGAGAAGAGTTTCTTTCTGTTGTGTCATGTTTGCTTGCACTTCTTTAAATCTGTAATGATTTTGTAAATCCTTCCTCCTAACATGTTTTTTTCATACATGTATCATTCGCATGATGTTTATCAATATGATCGTTGGCCAAACATATGGCATATATAAGTCATAGTCGTTCGCTGGCTGCGGAAAATCGTGGATCTTCTACCAGGATCGTAGAAGCTCTGATACGAATTTGAAGAAAAGTATTTTATTTATAATTTCATAAGTTCTTGAATCTTACTCAAGTTATCTCTATTTCTTATATTCTTTATTTTCTGTATTTTCTGTATGTTAAAAATAACTAGCAACATCCCAATTTATTATAGTAAGACATAAATTAAATTAGGATTAGAAAACATATTTCAATATGAACTAGGACAAACAAATCATAACTAGACATTATTAAATAAACATAAAAAATAAAAAATCCTAAACAACTTAGGATTCCTATTCCAACTCACTGTAGTCCTTTCAAAAAAATTATTACTTATTTAATGACAAATTTTTATAGCCAGGTGAATGTTAAAATCACATTTCAAAATTTTCATAGACACAATTAGCGGTATTCACGATTTGATAAAATACCAAACAAATTTAAAAAATTGACATTTGGTTTGTTTTAAATTTAAAAAATCATCAATATTTGGTTTAATTTTGATTCTACTAAAAGAAATCTAAAAGGTCACCAAATCAAACCGATAAATTATATACATAAAATTTATAATTATTTAAATATATAATATTAGTTATTAAGTTTTTTTAACTCTCTCTGTCTTAATTTGTGTGACTTACTTTTCTTTTTGAGTTAGTCTAAAAAAAGGGCACATTTCTATAATTAGTGACAATTAATTTTAAAATGTTCATTTTACCTTTAATGAAATTATGTATAACAACACAAACATCTATGACTTATTTTATAACACAAATTTCAGAAGTTTTTTTTTCCTTTTTAAACTCTGTATCAAGTCAAACTACATCACATAAATTGA